AGCTTTATTTTCAGATGGGGAAATGAAGATGCAGATATTCTAAACAACCTAACCAAGGCCAAAGGTAAAACTAAAGGTGGGGTTGGAGGTTCAACATTAGTATTGAGTAATGTGTTCCATCAAGCACTCTGTGGTAGAGAAGACTCTGACCTCACCATACCCTCCCCCTGCCCTTTGAGCCCAAGATAACTGCTAACTGAGACATTGGTAATAATTTGGTACCTTTTTGTGTCTCTGGAGTCCTGGTGTGGTGCTGGAGGATCAGCACTGGACAGCTAGCTACCCACAAGGTAGTGGTTCAAACACACTAGACACTGATTGGAAACCCTACAGAGAGTCACTATGAATTTGGAACCTACTCAACAGCACTTAACAACAACAATTCTCTGTAAGGCTAACAGGGTCTGAAGGGCAGGGGCCATGTTCTATTAGGTACCCATGAAGACAATATGTCACTGTTGTTAACAGCTCTGGCTTTAGAGTCAGAAAAAGCTAAGTTTGAATATCAACTTTACCACTTATTGGTTGGTTGGGTAAGTCATTTCTGAGTCTCAGTTTTGTCTGTAAAAATGAGAGCAGTTAAAGTGCCTGCCCTCAAAGGATGCCTGGAAGAATCTACATTCCATAAATGCAAGTTATTATTTCTATCTATGGCTACCAGTGCAGTGCATGGCACAAAGTAGGATCTCAGAAAATGCCCAGGGAGCAGAAGCCCTGCTGAATCTGGCCATGACTGGCTGTCAGTAGTAAGTGCACAAGCACAAATTCCTGGTGTTCAAGGCTCTTCAGCCCCAGGACAAATTTCTGAGTCTTCTGCCCAGAACCCAAAGGACCTGCCAATAAACAGTTTTCCTCTGCTGCTTGTGAACAGCTGATGCTGAATTTGCACTCAAATGCTTGCTGTGCCTCAATAAGGTGAGGTAGATCCCAAAATAAACTAGAAGAGAGACAGGAAAACCACTTCCAGGAACAAGTGGCTCACAGTGAGGAAGCTGACAGTAGTAACAGAGAAAAGCAGACTTCAGGAGAGTGACCTGCAGCTGCTTTAGGACTGACTGGCTAGGACCCAATTCCCACCTGGCCTGGTGGGAAGGCCCATGAGTTCATGTTTTAATCTCTGATGTTTCAGAATGATGCAAACAATCTGGAAACTTGCTTTCAAATCAGCCCAGCCCACCACCAAAACAGCCCATGTTACCCAGTAGTCCCCCCCTTAGAGACGCAAGGACAACAGAGCTTTGGTCTGCCTCCCAAAACTGAAGAAACAAAAAGTACTGAACTACTCTCAGTATCAACCAGGACTTCAAACTGGTTTGAACCTGTTCATTCATGGCCAACAAAGCAAAATGTGAGTGCCTGAAATAACCAGGCAGGAAAAATTGCAGGTCTAAGTCCTGGAGTATGAGATTCAGAAGAGGCATAACAAGACTGATACAGGAAAATTAATTCTTGCCAGGACTGTGGAGAGAGACACACATTCAAAGTGTACCGTCCGTCCGTCCCCTTTTTGAGCAGGGAACCACTGTTCTGACTCTGTCAGGCAAGAGATTTGGCTGCTATACAATGCACATACTGCCCTTGTTTTTCTAAGAGAGAGATTACATTTCTGTAGGACACAGACCCATAGTTTTCCCTCTTCCATTTTTTCATTCCAGACAACCCCACTCTACAAATTCTTGTCTGTCCTGATTTCACTTCATCAGCTATCACTAAACCAGGAAGATACCAGTTCAGAACCCTCAGATAAACTGGCCAGTTTATCATTTTCTCAAAGTTCTCCATCTTCCTGTGCCATGTCCCTGATTCTGAGATAGGAAATGCTCTGCTAATCCTTTCTGCTCATGCTTAACTTTATTGCCTCATCAAAATCTCTGTGGAAAGCCAGAGGGAAAACAACATTTCATGACCATGGAAGTTTCTCTTTCCTATCCTAAGTTTTCTTCCCCTGCTTAAGATCAGAGAGAACAGATAGCTTCTTCAGGCACCTTCACTGGCATCCAATTCCTCAATTGAACTGAAATGATGATGCGAGTGGAGAATTTACCATTTAAAATCACAACTGCTGTGTACTGAGTGTTGTCTTTATTCCAGGAATTGGGTGTGGATTCCACAGCCACCAATCTCACTGAATCCTCACAACAGCCTCTGCAGCAGGCAGAGTAGGACATTTCCCTTTTGTTACTGATGAGGAAATTAAAGGGCAGGGGGATCCAGAGATTTGGCCAAGGTCCCCTAGGTAGCAAAATTAGGATTTGAAGGCAGGACCATTAAATTATATTACCTCTCCATTTACCTACCCATTAAAGAAGTCTCCAGGAGAGGCTATGAACCCTTTTACCTTTAGATAGCTGTGTTGTAAGATTCCAGGCAGAATTTGGAATGTGATGAATTTAATATTATACTTTGGTTGCAAGCAAGTATCAGCTATGCAAACAGAAGACTGAGGTCAATTTCCTAACAATAGACATGCATACAAAATCTTCTCAATATACAATGTTGCTGTTGTTAAGTGCCATTGAGTCAGGTCCAAATGCCCAGTCCTGCGCCATCCTCACAATTTTTGTTATACTTGAGCCCACTGCTGCTGCCACTGTGTCCAATCCATCTTATCGGGGGTCTTTCTCTTTTTTGCTGACCCTCCACTTTACTTAGTATGATGTCCTTATCTAAGGACTGGTCCCTCCTGATACCATATCTGAAGTATGAGAGACAAAGTCTGGCCACCTGAATTCTAAGGAGCACTTGGCTATTCTTCTTCCAACACAGATTTGTTTGCTCTGGCAGTCCATGAACACTTTTAATATCCTTCTCCATCACCGTAACTCACCTGCATCAATTCTTCTATACTATTCCTTATTCACTGTCCAACTTTCTCCAAGCATATGAGCCTACTGAAAATACCATGGCTTGGGTCAGGCACACCTTAGTCCTCAAACTGACATCTTTGCTCTTGAACACTTTAAAGAGGTCTTGTGTAGCACATTTGCCTAATAAAACACGTTGTTTCATTTCTTGACAGCTGCTTCCATGAGTATTCACTGTGAATTCAAGCAATATACATATGGGTATACAAAACACCTCAGACGTGTACTAAAGCCTAAGACTATCTTGCTTACCCCCACTGGTCTTACTCCACAGCTCTAGACTTCAAAACGCCCCACATCAGACACTGAGGCCAGAACAAACTTCCCACCTTGCCAGTCCTGCTTTGGGAATAAAGGGTATGGAAGGAGGACTTTGGGGTGAGGCAGGTATGACTAGAGCCAGAGCTGCTTTGCCCTCCAAGCTGCAGGGCCTGAGTGTCTGTGCTCAACCGTAAATTTTACCAACTGCCCCACCAAGATCTCAGAGGTAGAGACAGAAGACATTGGGAAAGTTTCAGCATAAAAGCTTACAAGAGGCGCTTGAGAAGTAGAAAGCAGGGAAGAATGTCAATGGGGCATCAGGCTCCAGGTTAAATGTAAAAATCAATACTCCACTCCAGTTCTCCAGGAGGCTCTAAGAATATACATCTGTCCTGTTGCCCAGGCTCTTCTGTCCCTCTTCACAGATACAGAGAGGGGCTCTTTTGCTCAACCAAAAACAGCAGTCCCACTGCCCAGAGGGCTGGGCCAGGGCTTAGTGTCAGACCCTTCAGCCTTTCTCTGCAATGTAGACCCAGGGCCTAAAAGGGTGCTGCTGACTTGGCCACAAGAACAGATGGAGGAGGCGCAGGAGCTGCAAGGATGTTGATCTCCATCTGCTCCAGACACTCACCTAGTCAAAAGTGGTACCAGCAATACAATAGAAAGCCAGTAGATAAAATCCTATTTTCCCCTTTCCATCCTGAGTAGCCACTCTAGTTTCAGTCTTCAGAAAACAGGGGATCACATCTCAGAGAAACTGAGGGATGGCAGTCCAGGGTTGAATCTGATGAACTCAGAACCTGTTTTGGTAAAACCTCTCTCTGCCTAATACCATCAGCTCCCACTTAGCTTCCTTGGTATTCATCATGGTTTTGTGGCAGCAACTACCTATTGTATGCAAACCCAGCAGGAAAGATACTGCTACCAGAAAGTTGGTTGGTCCACAAATGCTGCCCCTGCCAGTACAGCAGCAATGGGGGCAGTGAGGACATGTTGATGAATATCGGCAAGAACTAATGAAGCTACACTGTGTCAGCTGACAGGACGTGCCACCCCCTTTGCCACAGTGCAGAAAGCAAACAGCCTGCCTCTGAGAATGGACCCAGGTGTCAGCAAAGTAGGGCTACAGCAAGGAAAGTTGAGACTGGGAAGAGGAAGAGGGAGAAAGGCAAGGCCAGCCTCTGGGATCAAAGTACCGGCACAGAGCTGAATGATAGAGGACAATTTACCTAACCTCGTCTGAAAAATAAAGATAATACTAGTTCCTATTTTTATGTGGACTAAACAAGATTACATATATCAAGCAATCACAGTACCTGCATTTGGCAAACACTCCATAACTGCTAGCTATTTTCATTATTTTAGGTCCCGGGACCAGGCTCATGGAAGGGTCAGAAAGTCATTCCTTCTGATGATGCCCCATTTAACTAGACCAAGACCAGTCCATTTCTTGGCATAGGTTCTTTTAACAACCAAACACTCCTGCCCCACACCAGTGCTCAGGACTCTCCTGTGAACAATATTTCAGCTGCATTGAGCCAAGCAGCAGAGCCCAAAATAGCATTTGCAGAGCGAGGCACATGTCACTGCCTCTCCTGTGCTTCAGAAGTGCAAGGAAAGAAATTTTTCAATCACTTGCTCAGAAAGCACGGCCACCCACCACCTGCCTTCCTTCCAGGGCACTCAGAGGCCTCAATCTCTGTTCTGCTGAAAAATGAAGGTCCCTGAGCCCTGCAGCAGCAGCCTCTGCTCTGATGGACCACACTGTTCCCCTCCACAGAGTGGCTGCTCCTTCAAAACAGCCCTGTGGAGCCAAAGGACATATGCAGGTTGAATTCCGAGTGTGTTTAATGAGGACAAGGCTGAGAGTGGTACCTGGTAGAAGAGCCTGCCATTCATGGGTCGGGGAAAACACCTCCAAGACCTCGGTGTCTGGCTCCTCCTTTGTTTTGCTTTCCTTCCTCTCTGTTTCTTTGGTGCTGCTCTTCTCTTGGTTGGTCAGCGCAAATTCCTTCTAAGGAAAGAAAACGGAAGGCATGATCCACTATAGCTAGGCACCAGGCAAACAGAAAGAAAATAACTTGGGCACTTTTCTCCCTCCATGCCCCTCTTTCCCTTCCCAGGCCTGGTTGGACACCTGCCATTTCTTTCATAAGGTTAACCTCAAAACTAATGTATGTGAAGTAATATGGTTAAATGATCACGGCATGCTATTTTGTATACATGGTGCTTTTTAAATATGCATAAGGAAAAACTCCAGAAGGATTCACATTATCTTGAGGGGGATGGGGGGAGCAAGGGAGCACACAAGGGAGCGAGATTGACAAAAAGAAACAATAGTGGTCTTTAACTTTTATTTGATATGCTATGCTATGAAATGAATTATTTAATAACCATAGACTTTGTAACTTCCACCAAGTAATAGGCGGAGACCATGCAGATTGGCTTTATTTCCTCTTTCACTGATGGGTCTGAGTAAGAGAAGGTGGAGGAAGACACTGATAAGATTGTATGAGCCAGCAGTGAATGCTTGTTAACACAGTTACTTGTGATTGTAAAAACTTAGAACTCTAACTTGGGATTGGTCAATTTTGCCATCGGGGCTGCTAACCTCAAGGTCAGCAGTTCGAAACTACCAGCTGTTCCACGGAAGAAAGATGAGGCTTTCTGCTCCTGTAAAGATTTACAGCCTTGGAAACCCTGTGCAGGGCCACTATGAGTCAGAACTGACTCCATGGTACTTAACAACTGGGTATAAAATGAACCATCTCAGAAGCAGGAAGGGGTATCTTACTACCATCAAGAAAGAAGAGCCAGGACTGGAGCCATCCTTTGGACCCTGAAATCCCTGAGCATTAAGCCTCCTGATCCAGAGACAGAAAGTTGTGGTAGAGAAGCAGCAAGAACAGAACCAAGAGCCAAAGCACAGAGTGATGGGCTTCCTGACCCATGGAACAAGTAAAGCTGGGTGCCTTTGGACAAGAAGCTCATTTGCAGAGTGGAGTGACTACAGGCATTAACTGAAGGTGCTAGGTTTGTTGACCCATGGAGCTAGGCTGAGGCTTATGGCAGAGTGGCAGGCTCTTTGGGCATTTACCAGCAATGCCAAAAGAGTTTGTAACATTGCCCAATTAGGGTAGAGGGCAGACCAAGGGGCCAAGGGCCAGAGAGAGGTCTGTCTGTGGGCACAGAAGAAAAGAGACTGTCCTTGACCCAAGAACTCTGTCTTGAGAATTTCTGATCCTGAATTGTGATCTGTTAAACTTCCAAATAGGCCCCATCATCATGAGTATGGTGTGTGCGTTCTATGTGGCAATCACAATGAACTATTGAGCCCAGCAGAAAAGAGAGTGGCATGGGAAGAACAGTTGGTGTCAGCATTAGTAAGCAAGGTTGAAAGATGGAAGACTGTCTGTCCTCAGCCTCAGGCTTAGGCTGATGCTGATTCTCTTCCAATCGCCTTACCAAGCGGGAGGAGGTCAGACACGGCCTTCATGCTGTTTCTGCATGCTACTATACTGCTTGCTGTTTAAAACTCATAGATAACACTTTTACACTGTAAGCGATTTATAAAATAAAAAATATGCACCTGAAAACTTAAAAAAAAAAAAAAAAAACAACAACTAAATGAATCTTAAATGTAATGGACTAATGATCATATTAAAATAAGTATATTATAGATCTGGATTTAAAACAAAATTTTAAAAATACGCATCTGAAGGGGACGAGTAGAGCTTCAAACTGCCACCAAAGATGGCAGTTGAGGTCCAAATGATAACCAAGAAGCCCAAAAGGAAACAGTAAGGGCTTTGACAATTCCCCAAAGGACCTATAGGGTATAAAGATTTATTGGAATATTCCAATCCATAGAGGAAGGGGTATCAGTAAGGAGAGAGCCCAGCTGGGTCAAAGGGAGGAAGATGCCCAGGTTGGAAACTCCTTTTTAAACCTGTTTCCTTCTACCCAATGGAGAGCATGGAGGATTAATGAGATGGTGTCTGTGGAGCATTTTGAACTGATGAGACAGAGATGCAAGATAAATACAAAGTATCATTCATTTTGCTCTTTCCCAGCCTTCCTGTCCCATTTTTTAAACCTGTTCTTGCACAAAATCAGTAAAACCTCAGGAAATCAGAACTAGAGTTTTCCAGAGTTCGGGAGAACTACATTTGGGAAAGCAAGGAAGAACCCACATTAACACACCAGTAGGTTACTTCAGCACTCCTATTTTCCTTTACGTCCAATTCCTCCCCCAATTATAATAGGTATAATTTTTAAATTCCTAATTTACACCCTCGGAAACCCTGTACAGGGTCGCTATGGGTCGGAACTGACTCGACGGCACTTAACAACAACAACAACCACAAACCCAAATCTGTGCTAGGTACTTTACATAGATCTCATTTTGGTTTTCCAACAATTCTAACCCTGTATGGAAGGTAACAACGCATGTCTTCTGAGCAGTACTCCAGGTCCAAATACCCTCTTTAATTAGTAGGCAGAAGGAAGGTTAAGGTGTTGGTAATGACAATGTAAAAAGGATTTCTGCACTGTAACAAAAAAATAAAAAAATAAAGGTAAGAAATTCGGATATCAGAAGTTAAGACCTTGTTAAAGACCAGGAAGGAAAATATCTTGGGTAAGAAGAGGCCCTCAAATCATCCCAGACATAATTTAGAGGCATTGACTACTGCATAGTGTTTAAAAACTCAAACTCTGCATCAGATAACCTAAACTTTGAGTCCCAGTTTCTTGTGAGGCTGAGAAAATGACTTAACTTTCTAAGCCTCAGTTTCCATATTTATAAAATAGAAATAAGTTTATAGCTCCATGTAAAAGAGCAGACCTAGGCATAGTGTAGCTACTGCTATTATTATTACAATGGCAATCCTAGGTTCCAGGCCAGATGAGTCCATGCTGTAACATCCAGCAGTGACTGCGTAATATGGCACAATTCAGGCAGGTTCAGGTTGAGGGGATAATGGCCACAACAGTGCAGCCTCGTCCCTCAAACCTTTCCTGACACTGCAACTTGAAATGGGCACCAATCTGAGCTCAAAAGAAATCCAGGAACAGAAGAGTGAGTGTGCATGGGAAGCTAAAGAGAAAACAAACTGGCAGGAGGCATCCTGCATTCTGAGGACATGGATGTCAAAGACTACCAACATCTGAGTTCCTGAGAGCAACCACATTAGTCTCTTCAACCAGTGTATTTCCCAGACCTCACATAGTTTAGATTGTAATTTGCAATTTAGTTTATAAAACATCAGTTTAGTTCTTATTTGCTGCTGAACAAATGAATGAATGAATGTTCTCTCCACAGGCTCATTTTCTGAGTGCCTGAGATTAAGATAGTCCAAGGTACTGAGTCTACTCGAGGCTAGGCACTAAGCCCATGTCCCACAAGAAATACCATCTTGTCAGTGAAGCACTGAGTCTATGTATTCCAGACCCCAGTCATATAGATCAGCCTCTGCTAGAAGCACCAGCATGCTAAAACCATGGGACTAAGAACATTAATAAAATTTGCCTCTGAGGTGTGTTGATCAAGTGTCTTCAGGGGTGGATGTAACTGAGTGAAGTGGGCCAGGTGTAAAACAACAGGGAGTGGTGGGGATTGTGGGAACTGGAGGCCTCCTGCCTTGACTAAGAAAAAGCAGCTGTTACTCAGCTGGCCCACCATCACCATGCAGATATTCTATTTTAAAAAAACAAACAAAATTCCTAATTTTTTATGTGAAGTTTTCTTATTTTTGGAACACTAAAAGGGGAACTGACTCAACAGCACTTAACAACAAAAGGGAAATGCAGTGGCTCCATAGGATAAGCACTGGTCTGCAAACTACAAGGTCCATGGTTTAAGTCCACCAGTCACTCTGTGATAGAAAGACGAGAGGCTTTCTGCTCCCACAAAGATTTACAGCCTCAGAAACCCCATACAGGGTCACCATGAGCCAGCACTGACTTGACAGCATTTAACAACAACAAAAGAATCAACCTAAACATAGCTAAGCTTCAAATGGTAACTCTTGCTTTAGCCATGTAACTTCTAGCAGGTGCCGCAATATTCAAGCACTTGAATCTTCATCATCAAGAGAAACAGAAAGTGACTGATGGAGTCTTCACATCAAGTATCAATATTACCTCCTCTGTACACAGTGTAGATAGGGACGTACAACTTAAACATTGGCTACCTAAACTGAGGGGGCGATAAAGGCACAAAGTGACTGGCTTACAAGGGTTCAAGAGAGCGTTTAGTATAAGAATGTGTGGGGGAAGAAAGAGTCCCCAATGAATAGTTTTCATCTTGTCTAGATAGGTCTGGTTAAAAGAGACGGGGATAAGATTCTTATGATTCAGTAGTAATTGTTATCATGACTAATTGCAACTGTCTCAATTGTAAAGGTAGAAGTTTTGTATCAAAAACGGGGGAGTAGTTAATCTTACAGTCCAGAAACAGAGGACCCTAGAACCATCAAGGAGAAAAGCACAAGCAGAATGCGAGACCTTATCCAGAGAAGCAGTGACAACAGAAGTGGAGACAGAGATGGGGACATGGAGAGAGGAAGCAGCTGAGGACTCTAGA